CACCCCCACCCCCGCCCGGCCCCATTTCCCCCAACCAGGGTCATAGGCGAAGAGAGGGTCTGCTCTCTGGGCGCCCACACGCGGCTCTGCACCGGGGAGGCCCAGGAAAAGCCAACAGGACCCACTGCTAGCTGGGTACCAGCCTGTGCAAGACAGCAACGCACTTGGTGGGGCTTGGGGTGTCTATGCGCACAGATCCAGAAGCCAGGGTGGGACAGTGGAGGCCAGGGACGCCCCTCATGAGGGTGAGCCTGGCCCTGGTGGATGGTGTGTCTCTGCAGGCATCTGAAAACATCCCGCTGGCCCAGCCCTGGGACTCTGGCTGTAGGTCGCTCTATCGCTGCATCTTTCTGCACTTTGTACCCTCTGTAACTGAGGGGAAAACAGAGGGTAGGGGCAGGAATTCACTTCTTGCATATGATCCATCAGTGCTTTAGTTAACCTCCTTCACTGTTATGCCATTACCTTCACTGACCTTTATGGCTACTGTGCGGAGACTCACAGAGGACGTTGTAGCCTCAGCCCCCTGCTGCTGGATTCAGTTCAGCACCCTGGCAGGGATACTAGCCGCTAGCCAAGGGGACAGGAGCAGGGCAAACTAGAGGTTGCCTCTACCTGGCCCAAGGATCTCAAAGCAGTGGGTGAACAGTTAACCATATGCCACTTAGCCCTTTCCAAGCCTTTGCTATAAAAGATCAAGTGCAGAAGGAACAGGGAGGAAAGATGACCTCTGATTGCAACTAGTATTTGAGCTGAGAGGAAAGGGCATCGAGCATTTTGCAGAGCAAACAGCCGGAGCAAAGGCTAGCAGGGCTGGGCAGTTTGGAGGCTCAGTTTAGGAATTTACAAATATGTGTGTGCGGCCAAGTGTAACTCTGTGAGGCCCGAACACCTCCCCTCACCTGTGTAGCAAACGTTTATTGATCCCCTGAGTTGCAAGGTACCATTCTAAAGTCCTCATGTTGTTGACTCTGTGGATTCTCATCTAGCCTATGATGCAGGTAGGATTATTCCTGCTGACAGATGAGGGGACAGAGCCAAAGGGAAGTTAAGTATCATGTCCAAGATCACACAGCTATAAATGGCCAAGTCAGGATTTTCTTAAGTGTACAATGTAATGATTTTTAGTAGACTTATAGAGTTGTGCAACCATGATCACCGCTGGGTTTTAGAACATTTCCATTACCCCAACGTTTCTCTCAGAGTCAGAGCCAACATTCAAACCCAGGCGGTCCTGCTCGAGACCACACTCTTAGCCAGCTTGCTGAATTGACTTTGTAATTCAAGGTTGAATCTGACTTGAGGAAACATCTGCCTGAGAACAACCCCCTCACCCACACACTTCTCTACATTTTGGTCTGCACTGAGCCGGCTGCTGATGGAGATCATTCCCTCTGGAGAGAGAAATGGGGGCACGGTGCCCTGTCCTCTCCAGCCAGCTGCTGCCTTCACCAGCCTGGGCAGGGCTAGGGCCCAGGGGCAGCTCCTCCCGTTCCCCAGGACTGGGCTGGGCCCCCAGCTGACTCAACCTGGTTGCACCCTGCACATGGAAGGTGGGAGACAACATACACCTGGCAGGATGGCTCTCTAGTGTTTCTGGGGTGTTCCCTAGGTGCCGGTGGGTGTGGCAGAGGTTCCCCTTCCTGCTGAACTCGACAAGTACTTGGAGTTGGGGATGGGAGGGAACAGTGTTGGGGATTCTGTGATATGATGAAGATTTCAGGCCTGCCTTGAGGTCCTGCCTCTGCCAATAATGTGGGGACTAGCCACTCTCTGGGACACAAGTTTTTCTTCCATTAAATGGGGATGGGTCTCAGTGTTTTCTTCCGTTAAATGGGGATGGTGACCAGTCTGCCTACAGAAGACTGCTTGAGGTTTGTATATCTCAGTGCTTTGAAGAGCATTAAAAAAAAAATGCCCTAAAGCAAGGATTGGCAAATTATAGATCTGGCTCAAATCTAGCCCATGGCCTGTTTTTGTAAATAAAGTTTTATTAGAACACAGCCAGCCACACCCACTTACATATTCTTTATGGCTGACTTCCTGCTACAGTGGCAGAGCTAAGTAGCTGCAGCGGAGACTACATGGCCCACAAAGCTGAAAATATTTACCAGCTGGCCCTTTATTATCGTCAGGTCCTTCCTAACCCTGAGCTCTCCCTGCCCTTGCCTGCTTCAGTTCTTCTTCCTAGCATTGCTGTGACCAGAGGAGACTGAGGCACAAAGAGCTATCCTAAGGTCTCATCAGGTCCCTGAGACTGACATTCTCTGCAATGCTGGTGGTATCCAGCCCTTGGAAAATAGGTGGTGGGACGGAGGAGGGAGATCGATGTATGTTTGTATGAGGAGTAACCACTTGCTCTGTGGCTACCGCCATGCAAAAACCTGCTTGCACAAGGGTAGGCTGGGTGCAGCGGGTAAAATGCAGTCATGTGAAGGTGGTGACGGATTTTATTCCAGAAACTTACTTCACTTGAAGGGCTTCACTTAATGCAACTGCAATCCTAGTTAAGCTTCCTGCCTTCCCCCAGGCCACGGAAGGGTCTTAGGCTGCACAGTTGTTGTTTTTTGTTAATCCTCACTTGAGGATATTTTTTCCATTGATTTTTAGAGAGAGTGGAAGGGAGGGAGAGAAACAGAGAGAAACATCAATGTGAGAGAGACACATAGATTGGTTGCCTCAAGAATGTGCTCTGACAGGGGCTGAGGATCGAACCTGCAACCCAGGTATGTGCCCTTGACCGGGAATCAGTGTGCAGGCCAATGCTCTAACCATTGAGCCACACCAGCCAGGGCTGCACAGTTGTTTTTTAAATGCATAAGAAAAAGGAAAGGTAGATCTTTGCAAATCCTGAGATGAGGGTCCAGGATACTTAATTAAAAATGCAGATTTCTAGGGTCCCAGGGTCTGGATTTTTACCAACTCTAGGTGATTCTTTTGTACAGAAAGATTTGAGAATCCTGGGGTTTTCTTCCCCAGGTGGGAGATGAGCCATTCTCTCAATCCCCAAGACTTCCTGCAGGTTCTAAAT